TATTGCAGAAGCACAATCACATGAAGAGATTAACATTACATGATCAGGAATGGGAAGGCGACAGCAGCTTTAGAGAGAGTCTGTGAGAATGAGATAGGGTTCGGACAAAATCCCATTTCACTTGTATTCCCCTTTTACTCCATGTTTCATGCGCTTAACAGTTTGGTCCCATGGTATCGGATTCCATTAATTCAACCCTGAAATTCACAATTCAACTATTAAAATTGAAACTCTACTTCACAATTACATTCTTAAATTTACAGGAAATTGTTTTACTTAAAATTTTAGAAATTCTTCAAATAATACCCGGTTGAAATCAAGTTATAACAATAGTAATCAAAACACATAATTATCAAACTTGCTTCTAAGTAAAAAAGAATTAAAATGTCGAATTACCTTGACAACACAAGGGATGACATTGTAGGCTATCCTTCAGGATCCATCAACGACGGTACAATTCTTGGAAGTATCAGCATAGCCAGGCCTCATTCTAGTTGTCTTCTATTCCAAAAGTATTTGATCCAACAAGTGTTTCCTAACGTACTAGTTCTATTATACTTTCTCACAGAAATTCCCATCCTATTTTGAAAAAAAAAAAAAAAAGTTTAAGAGGACTACTGGTTTGTATAATTATGCTGCAATTTTGCAAACAACTCTTCTTGTTTTCTCTTTTCTTTTCCTCTCCTCCCAATTATATATTTTTAGACAAGTTTTCTTCTTTATTTTTCTTTTCAAATATCTTCCTCTTTACTCCAGTAATTGCAATGAAGAACGGTATAGATCATATGGAGCCCACAAATGATCAACAACACATGGCTTTCGGGAATCCAGTCTTAGCCATGGCTTCCCTTTCCCGCTCCAATGTAACAAACTAATTGGTCCAGGATGGAGGCTTCGGCATCGGCCTTCGAGGTTATCGCCACCGAGCCCATGCTGGTTCCATCGGTGATCAATTGACTTTATGTTCCCGCCGAAGACTAACAAAAACGGTGGCAAAGAACCCAAGTGGTATATCCTCTTCTGTTTCTGCACCACCATCCATTCCTCCAATTTCTGAGTGTACTCTCCTTGCTGCCATTCTTCAACGTCCACCACCATGACTCCTGTATTGAAGTAACAGGGTTTTCTTCCCGAAAACGTGCTGGATAGTTTTTTATCTGACCAGAACAAATCAGTGAAATATTTAGTGAAATTGGCGTGGCAATAGTCCGGTGCTGCAACTACCTTTCCTTCTAAGTCAACTTCCCATAGGTTCCTGATATCATCCACGACAACGAGGTCAGAATCCAAGTAGATAATGCGTTTTACGTGTGGTGGAAGAATGTCGGCAAGGTATATTCTAGCATAATTTAAGGGTTGGTCCAATGCTTGCCGAATTGATTTAGATATCTTGTCACGAACTCGGTTGGAGTCAAAGCGGTATACATTGAAATGGAGGTAAGGAAACGTGGATTTGATGCTGGCTAAGACATCTGGCTCATATCGGGCCCAAAGGAAATGGAATTCGACATTTTCTGGACAGGTGGAGTGTTGGAGGATCGAGAGGACAGCAGCCATGGTGCCTCGAAGGTAATTTACATCAAGTGTCATAGCTATGTGGATTCTATCTATGGGTTGGGATCCGCAAGTTTCTCCATTTCGAAAGGCAGGAGCTTCTCGAAAAATAGAAACATTGGGAGGAGAAAGCTTTCGGATGATCCCATGGCGTATCCCAGACGTGGCAAAGGCATTAGTAGTGAGGAAGAGGGACAAAGACAGGAGGCCTAGAAGGGGGAGAGGAAAGGCCATCCTGCCTTTGGAGACGGGAAAGTTATGGAAAAAATTAGAGAGGGAAAAGATTAGAGGAGAAGTTAGGATGGTTAAGAGGAGGTTTAGGAGAGGTTATTAGGAAACTAATGACTGAAAATTATTCTGATTAATTAAGACGAAAAGGGCTGAGAAAAAAAGGTTGGTGCAGATTGTAAGGAAGAGAAGAAACCTCGGAGGACATTGTAATAAAAGGGACAAGAGATTAGGATGTTCAAAATATCTCTTTAATATATAGTAGATAACTCAAAGTTCTAATCTATAGTTTCAATAAGCATAATAACTGTAAGGTCAATTTAGTCAAAGGCATATGATTAAGATCTAGTGGATTACAAAATAAAGGAGATGCCTAAGATATTTAAGCATACATTAATAGAAATGGTCATGCCCTGCACACATGTAAATGCAATGACCTAAACTTACATACCATCTTGGGTTTTTTTTTTTATTTTTTTATTTTTTTTTTTATGGTACGACAAATGATGTGCTATACAATAAAATTTAGTTTTTTCTTTCTCAAATTCCTTTCCACCCATGTCAAAATTCAAATTTGATATTTTCAACATGAAAACTTAAGTTCTTGACCACTACAATGTCCCTAAGGGTACACTATTTTGGTATTCTCTCTTCAGGCTCTTGTTTTAGTTTCCACAGAGATAATTGTGAAGTCATACATGTTTTTGAAAGCGCTAAGCAAGTAATAAATTAAATTTAGGATACGTTTGAGATTGCTATGAGACATTGTGC